CTGGAGAGCCCGTGTGTCCGGACGGGACTTCACCAGCGGGGTATACACTTGACAGCTGGAACAAGTGGCAGCCCCTCTGTCTGTCGACCCTGTCCATTGAAGATTCGGAAGACGTATATATCTTTGGCATTTTGGTGGCGGGAATCCTCCTGTTTGGGTTTGGAGCGATCCTCTTCTACCACAAATTCGGAGGCATGGCAGTTCGCAAGATTCACGACCTGCTGGCCGATAAAATTGATGGGATGTACAAGGAGCTTAGCCGTGTCGTGGTTGAGAGTGCCGTGTCTGGACAACGGAGAGTGGTGTTGGTGGAACAGTTGATCAAAGACCTCGCAGCTCGTTCACTTGATGGACATAAGACCTTAGAATTGAGATTGAATGACATTGTTTGTCAGGCTTGATCTCTCTGACCCGGCTTGGATTTGCCCCTGTGTACGGAGGTCTGAGGGCACCGGAATTCGGTTTAATTGGAATTAATAGAATATCTGCCTGATTTTGACTGCGACATTGCAGGCGATGTGTTTTTCTCCTCCTGTGGCTTCTCTCTCCACTCTTATCTCACATTCCTCAGCCAAGGCCATAAACAAGGTCCCACAATCTACAACAACTCACACTATTTCAGTCTTCAGCAAGGATCCCCCACCCCCGCCTCCCTCTACCTATCCATCTTGCTCCCTCCCTCCCCTCCATTCCTTATTGTTTTCCTACTCACCCCCTCCCTGATCCCGCCCCCCTCTGACAGCTACATTGGGCCGGCCGAAGAGGTGCTCTTCCCGAGAAAAAAATCCGTGGTTTATAAAAAGCACAATGTGTCTATCCAATTGTTTGTGAACTGTATGTTATTGCTCTCTGCTGTTTCTTGCTGCACACAGCGCCGCAAATGGCGAAGTGGCACGCTCTCTGCCAAAACAATTTCCAAGTGATAACTTTGTTACTCACGTGGCAATAAAAATGATTCTGATTCTGATTCTGATTGTTTTTCCCCAAAAGGCTTTGCCCCCACGAGCCCCATTTTTGAAAACGAGTTTACTTTAAAAATTCACACAAGTAAACTAGAGTGGTCCAAAACACCCCTCAGCGATTGACAACACATGTGGAACGGAGCCTTTCTGGCAAGAGGGACTTTTGGATCATCTGTAAAGGTGTTTTCCAGCGGTAAGAAGAGGCTATATGTTGCATTGGCTAATTCTTTATTCAAATAGCACAACCCCCACAAGGCAATGATAAACACATTGCCCATAAACAGTAGACACCAATGTCCATGATGTTTGATAAAGTAATTAAGTCTATAACCACTGACCTTTACACCTTTCATTGACAAGGAACAACTCATAAAAACCCAGTGGGCGAAACCTCTCTAGTTATTCTCACATCAATAATACCATCATCTTTACTATCGAAACCCGGTCACAAGTTTCCCTCAAATTACAGTAAGTGAGCATGCGAATAAATGAGCATTCTACCATCAATTAAGCTGCTGCGCTGCGGCTACATAATTACCTAGGGAAACATCCCCCAGTGTCCGCATCAAAACTTGTACAAAACCTCTCTTTTGTGTTTTGAATATGAAAGATTCCACCTCCGAATTAGACGAGATGACACTTTAAATAATCCTGTGAGGAAAATGTTAATTGCTGCCATCAGGGATAGGACCAAGAATAGATCAAATTATGGACGATGTCGCCAGAGCCCGTGCCTGTAAATTCGCAAGCAGAGAACTGGGTAAACCAATGGGATGTGGACAAAAGCTGTTGTTTGACTCTGGAGGGTTTTAAAAAAATGCCGATCTTTCCAAACATTTGAATTTGATGTAATTCTGTGATTGCTTTGTTAGACGAAGTGTGGCTCTGTGCTCTGCATACACCAGTGGTTCAAACAGTCAAACTGCCTTAGTGGGAGCCAAACTAATAAAAACATTAGCTTTTAATACCACTGGAAAGCTCACTGTGTAATGTATAGACGATATTTTTTCACCATTAGGCGCTCATAAAAGCCTTTAATTTCAACCAAGTGCCTTATACTACACTGCATCTTATATATGAAAATAAATAGCATATTTTCGAAATGGCGCCTTTTAATCAGGTGTGCTTATCTGCCCCCCCAATAACGCTTACTTAAGTACTTCATTTGCACCATAGTAGAGAATGTCAGTGTTGCTATCAGCAGTTAGAGAGAGGAAAAAGGAACACACAAGTTGGTTTCAAATCTGCAGACACACAATTTCACATATATTTACTCTAAAACCTGTTTGCAAAAAAAAAAAAAAAAAAAAAACAAAAAAAAAACAAAAAAAAGGTGTTGGAAGGAAGTAAATTCCTTTTTTTTTCAACCCCATCTCACACTCAAACACAATACTAACAGAACTACAATAATAAATTTCATACACACGACAAGTTTGATTATGTGCAGTACCATAGAGTAACAGGAAAATACCCTACTATAGAGTAATAGACAAACAAAACACCTAACACACACACCACACGGCCCAAACCTCTCTGACCCTACCCTTCTCTCGATATTGCTGTGCGAGGCATCACTTCTCTATTCTTGTCCAAAATCCCATACTAAATACCCATTCTCTACCTTTAGCATAATAAAGAAAGCAAAATCTCTAGCTTTAGGCATAAATAATAATCAACTTAAAAACTACTACTTACATAGATTATCGGATGAAAAGCACAATCTGTCTTATTTATGTATTCCATTTCAATATTAGTTACAATCAGACCGACGGACCATTCAAAAGCAAACGTCACACATGGGTGGTCAGCGAATCTGGCTCGAATTAGCATAAAGCCTATGAACTTTCCTCCACAGTGTTAATTATTGTGAGAAACTTTGGAAACCGATCGTCACTGTCACTGTCGCTTCATTACTCGGCCGACATCTTCACAAGTCAAGTCAAACGAGAGAGATCTTGCCGCTAGTTCAAGACTCGATATTATGCCGTTTTTGAACGTTTGACAGCGTGACGTGGGCTGCTTTTCTTTCTATAGATTGAAGGGATCACGGCGCGTTTGCGCGGTCCAGTCGGAATGGGAAACCGATGCAAAAGAGCCACTTTATTAAGAGAAGCGAGAGCTCGATTTGAATGATGTGCCGTGACTTTGGCCTGTACATTGACAGCGCGAGAATCAGGAGCTGTTTTAAGTCATTCATGTCAATTCAATTTACTCTTGGGTTGACGTAAATCACCAACAGCAGTCGTCTCGGAGGACCTTTACAAAACACCAGATCCGAGAATCAAAGGGTTCAAAGGTCGTAAAGGTGTTACAAACAGACAGATCAAGCCATTGGTCCATTGGAGAAAATGTCTTTAAATGTTTAATAAATCGCTCATGAATGTGGTTGACAAGACTCAAGCATCATCACTGCCTTGGAAATCTCCGATCAGCAAGAAGCAACAAATCCACTCCAAAAAACAGAGGGAAAAACATACAGTACAGAGCAAAAGTTTGGACACATTTTCTCATTCAAAGAGTTTTTTTATTTGTAATTTCATGTTTCTGTAAATTGTAGCTTCACACTGAAAGGGCATCAAAAAACTGATGAATTCAATCTATGTGGAATCATGTACGAGAGGGGCTGGTTCGCTGTGTCACTGGTGTAGCTCTGACTGCACACCCGAGGCAGTAATGGATCAAGGGGGAGAAAATGGAGGAGGAATTATGTATGTCTAAAAAAAAAAAAAGTATGAAACAACTGAAAATATGTCTTATTCTTGGTTTACAAAGTAGTTACCTTTTGCTTTACTCTTGGGCATTCTCTGGATGAGCTTCAAGAGGACCTGCAAATGGTCTTCAACAGTCTTGAGGGAGTCCCATGACGCTTAGCAACTTGTTGGCCCTTTCCACCTTCACTCTCGAGTCCAGCCCCAACAAGCATCTGGACTGGGTTACAGGTCCGGTGAATGTGGCGGTCATGTGGCCCAGCACCATCTCTCTCTTTATTGGACAAACAGCCCTTCACAGCTGGTGCGGGTCTACAGTCTATAGTCATGAAAAGAAAGGAACTTTGTCTGTGCTGTATATGTTCACTGCAAACATGATAAATATGTGGTAATAATGCTTGAGTGTTTATATCTTAATCTGAGGACACCTGACAAGATTTGCCAAGGGACAAAGCCATTAGATTTATTTCAAGAACTGTTTCTTTATTTTCGCATTCCAGCACTGCAAACGTCACAAAAATAAGACATTGCTCAAATATGGTATTTTAAATTTGAGAACTTTTGACTGCCTTAAAGCAAGATTTGCCAATGGAACGGATGTTTTTTTAAAGAAACACAAGAATTGTCTCCATTGGAAGGGAAAAAAAAGTAACACGTCTTTGTCTCTTCTGCAATTTCTTGTTTGAAAGTAGATAAAAAACCCCTCGATTCAAGCAAATTTGTTCTCATATTTTACAGTTTTCTTGCAGTAAAGTGGAGACATATGTTGAATATTATTTAAACAAGATCCATTTTGCTTTGTCCCACTGGCAATTTTTGCTTCAGGCAGTCAGAATGTGCTGAAAGTTTTGACATATTTTTCATGACCCTTTCGCAACGTACGTCAATGCCATTCTACAATAAACATTACGTGTGTTGTTTCACTCTAAAGATAACCAGTTGAAGTGAACAATGTACTGATAGAAGTGAGAAACATTGCCATACATCTCGTATATGAACTTCACGGACACCAGGCCGAGCTGTTAATGACGGATGGGTAATTACTTGAAGAAAAATGGTCAAATGGAATACTGAACCCCGGGGGCCGCCAACGAGTCTACGGCCAATCCTGTCATGACGCCACTCTCTCCTTCCCTTATGCATCCCTGAACCCGAAAACACGCTATTAAAACTTGGGAGTGCTTGCACGATGGCCGCCTGTCGCCTCGCTTGGCTTGTAAGAGTTTTCAGGACCAGCATAACCTGGGATTTTCTTCCAAAAGAGGAGGCCGAATGAGTAAACAAGTCAATGGGATCGATTTACTGGTGACGGCAGAGAAACAAAGTAAACTTACCACCCCCCCCCCCCCCCCCCCCCCCCCCCCCCCCCCCCCCCCCCCCCCCCCCCCCCCCCCCCCCCCCCCCCCCCCCCCCCCCCCCCCCCCCCCCCCCCCCCCCCCCCCCCCCCCCCCCCCCCCCCCACCCCCCCCCCCCCCCCCCCCCCCCCCCCCCCCCCCCCCCCCCCCCCCCCCCCCCCCCCCCACCCCCCCCCACCCCCCCCCCCCCCATATATATTAATCCCCCCCCCCCCCCCCCCCCCCCCCCCCCCCCCCCCCCCCCTTTTCGGGGAAGAGATGTGAGGACTTATCCTCGACAAAATTTGCTAAACTCCAAGGATTTTAGAGTCGGGTTATTCAAGCATTCAATATGTACCGCAAAAAGAATACAAATGAGGTCTAAAAGCTTGAATCTAGTTGTTTTTACCTTAATCTGAGCACATTCTTACGAGTGTTAAACCAATGGACAAGACATTTGGTCCCGTTTCAGAACTTATTATTTGGGATTCCATAAAGAGACATTTATTGTATTTTTTAAAGCAAGATCATTTTGCTTTGTTCCATTGGAAATCTTGTTTTTAAGGCAGTCAGAATGTGCTCCCAAATTAAGATACATATATGCCAAATTTGAGAATTTCACATATTTTAATCACTTTTGCAGTTTGGGGTGTAAATAAGACCATCAAAAGCGTATCGAGGTTGACGTAGTGTGGCCATACCTGCAGTGTGAACCAGATACGACAAATCTCTGAAATTAAGCAGTGGAAGCCTGGTTAGTACTTTGAGGGAGACCTTAGAACAACAGGTGTGGCGGCTGTAAGTGCCCAACTGTGGTTGTGTCCTTAGGCATGCCCCCCTCACATTAGAATGAGTCTGTTCTGTGTGTGTGTGTGTGTGTGTGTGGTCGGTGGTGGTGGGAGGGGGACGAGTGGGTCAGACAGGTTGCCTCGCTTCTTCAGGTGTGCCCAAGGCAGCTGAGACTACCTCCGTGTTATAGTGGAAAGAAAGACACGTAGAGCATTAATAAAGGGCCAGGATACCACTATATATAAAAAATTCAATCCATTTGTGGTGTTATTTAATGACTTTTGGCTCAAATAACTTGCCTTACACAAAATTACAGCTTGTTCTCGGTGCTAATGCTACATTGAGTAAACGCCGCTGGACCTGCAGGTTGTGGGGTCCATCGATGAGCACCGCTGATTTTCTGTCGGTTTAAACGCCCAGCACGAGTCGAGGAGAAGGAGGGAAAGGCCATAATACTCCCGAGTTGTTTTGAAGAAATTGCAAAATGCTACATTGGGGAGGCTGAAATACCAGACGTGACCTGAAAACACCCAATTAAAAATACAACATGGAAGTAAAATCTTTCAAAATGCATAATTATACTGTTCAAAATCCTGCAAATTTTGTGTTTCTTAAAAGAAGAAATATTATGCGTGATATTTGTCCATATAGCAATGATAATGACAGGTTTTAGTCCGTCTCATTTTCTCGAATGTGAATCTATACAGTGACGCCGGAAAATGTTGAACAAGACTAAAGGATAAGTTAAGTCTATCCCAAACTCATTTTTTTCTATGAGGATATGTATTTATGTATTTATATACAAATTGTTACAATACAAGTGTAGTTTTAGGGCAGTACTTTGGGTTTAACCGGCAGAAAATCCAATGAGCATGATTTAAGATGGTTTACAAGGAAGTCCAAACCATTACAGGTCTCAACGACAGGGACGTTTGGAGAAATGTTCATACACATGTGTAAACGCAAGGCAATCAGAGATAAAAACATGCACACACCAGGCATTAAAAATCATAAAATATTCACAGTACATTAAAAAGAGTTAATATAAACTCTCGTTGTGCACAGCCTAACAGAACTTGTTTAAACAACATGGTCAGCGAAGACGCCAGTCCCTGTGCCTCAGAGTCACAGTAGAAGGCCAATCCCTGTGATCCTCAGAGTCCCAGCAGGAGGCAGTCCCTGGCTCCTCAGCCGTCCCCAGCAGAAGGCCAGTCCCTGATGCTCCTCAGAGTCCCAGCAGGAGGCCAGTCCTGTGTTCTAAATAGTACCCATCAAAAGGCTTGTCCTGTGCTCTTCAGTCACAGCAGGAGGCAGTCCCTCTGACACAAATTGTCCACGCAGGCGGCCAGTCCCTGTGCTCATCAGAGTCCCAGCAGGAGGCCAGTCCCTTTGCTCTTCAGAGTCCCGCAGGAGGCCATTCCCTTTGCTCTTCAGAGTCCCAGCAGGAGGCCAGTCCCTTTGCTCTTCAGGAGTCCAGCAGGAGGCCTGTCCCTTTGCTCTCCAGGAGTCCCAGCAGGAGGTCAGTCCCTGTGCTCATCAGAGTCCCCGAGGATGCCAGTCCCTGGCTTCAGAACCAAGCCAATCACCATTGTCCCTGCAGGTTCCTTTTCCCACCGTCTTAAAAACCACATTTATTGAACCATACATGTTCCGGAATTATGAATCCCCCTCAAGCAAAGAGTGGGAGTCCGGACTGGCTCCGATCCAAGCCGTGGGTGATGGGGAATTATTACGGTAAGCCGAGACGTTGGCTTTTTATCTCTGCATCATTCACCCGAAAAATTCCGCTCGCTGATGCAATTACTTGATCGGGAAAAGTCATTTATCCTTGCTTTGGGTCGACACAATGTAGTGAAATGTGGTCGCTCTAAAAGAGAAGAAAAAAACATGGAGGTGAGACGGGAGCAAGCGGAAATCCGGTGGGCGTACATTCAACTCATTACTCATATAGACTTGTTGCTTTTAGCCAAATTGGTGGCCATTTCATTTTTTCACAAGCTTGCCGGGGCACTTTCTCTGGGTCAATCATCCTTTATTTGCTGATTTCTCTCAGGAAAGCCGATTTTGAATGGAGGAACTATTCGAACAGAGCTGCCAGGGCTGGACAAAAAATTTAATAGTCCTCTTGTTCCATAATATGATTACCGTGTACTTATTTATGCCCCTGCGCCGCAAATCCCCGTCATTTCCGATAATAGCCGGGTAATGGGGTGTCTTTTGATCCGTCAGGTGACTTTGCTGGATCTGAGGGCAATGGCCCAAATAAGATCATTTTAAAACGGTAAAAAAACATCCCTAGGTTTAGATTTACGTCAGATGTGTTGGATCGTCATGTCAAGTCCGTCTTAAAGGGCCTATCTGTCAAAAAAGCATTCATAAACCATGCTCTTTTCATATACTTCTTTAATGATAACAGTAGTTCAGAGATATTTTGGATTTTAAATTAGTCTTACAGCCCCATAAATCTGTTGTTTTTCATTGCAAAGTCTTCTCCACCGTTTCCCAAATCAGGAAAATCAGTGATGATTGAACTCACCGCGTCGAGCTAATCTCATGGTAAGAAGTACCAATGTGGCCAGGACGTGCAGTCAGGGGAGGCAGAGCTCACCTGTCATTATTGGAAACTAATAATTATTTTGATAGTTTAAATATCTAATTTATATCCACTGTCCTATGCTTTTAATGTATATTCGGCACGGTTTCCCATCAGTATGCTCATTTGAAGTCAAAATCGCCCGAAAGCCCGTATTTCCAATTCAAAGAGACGAGGTGAGGCAGGCTCCTGCGGACCCTTCCCCAACGCTAACGCTAACCCTAGCCCTAATCCTAACCCTGACCCTAGCCCTAGCCCTAACCCTAACCCTAACCATAGCCCTAATCCTAAACCCAACCCTAGCCCTTACCCACATGGGAAAGTGTCAGTTAGTAGTTAGTTAGATGTTGAATAAGGCCATGTTAGGACTGAATAAGCTCGAAATAAATACCAATCAAGACATACTTAACCATAAATCATACACAAATTAGCACTTAATTTTCTGTTAAATACTAAGGCCTAAACTAAAGTGTGAACCTCACTATATGTGCTCAATACTTCTTATGGACTTCTAGAAGTCTGTAATCCCATTCCCACCTCTGCACAAAGAAAGAACATCTAAAGAAACAGTTCTCCTTGTCCTTTGTGGGCCTGACTCAGACAGATATATTTAGCTGCACTTTGACGATGGCATTCCCCACTCTGTCAGAGCTTCAATGTTCCAAGCAGCGCGGCACGATGAGGGGTCTTCCAAACTGTCAGGGGCTTTGTTGAAAGGATAGCCTCCCTGAATCACTCCCTTATGCAGTGGACACAGGAGCCGATTCACTGGCCTAGGTTGTTGGTGGGCGCTCCGAGTGTCCGCACAAAGGCTACTGTTGTTGCCAGTAGGAGCCTCGCTGTCTTCCCATGACCGGCCGGGACAGCCCATGTCTAAAGCCGAGTTGGGCCGGGGCGAGGGGAGCGGTCACGGGCCGGAGTCACGGTGGACGGTGGCCTCCGGAGCATAGAGAGACGCTTGTACCTACAGGGATATCTGATAAAGGACGCACAGACACAGGCCGATTCACAGGCAGGATGTTGGGGAGATCAATACAGGCATGGTGCTGGTGCCGGAGAGAGTGTGTGTGTGTGTGTGTGTGTGTGCGTGTGTTTGGCTGTGTATGCAAGTGTAATTGTGTATGAGTGTGCGTATGTGTGTGTTTGTATTGTATGTGTGTGTATATCAATGCATTTTTGTCTGTCTCTTTGTATTGTATGTGAGTGTGAGGTATATATGCATGTGTGTGTATTTGCATCTGTGTGCGTGTCTATGTACTGTCTAAGTGTGTGTGGGTGCCTGTGTGTATGTGTGTGTGGGTATATTTGTGCTTTTATAATCTCTGACACCTAATGATCATTATCAGCTGTTTTGAAAATCTTATATAATATATTATTCATGTGTAGCTCTGCCAACCTTCTTCAAACAATGTGAGTAAATAAGCATCTTGTGTCAACCAGGGCCTTTCTGCGTATAGGTTGCATGTTTCTGGGTAGGTTTCCTCCAGGCACTCCAGTTTAGAAAATTAAATATTAGCTTAAGTAGAAAATATTTGCTGGAACAAGAAAGAAGGTTAACAAATGCTTTCTGCCTGTAACTCTCCATGCTACCATTAGAGTGAGTTTATTTTTTTTTCAAATTCTAAAATTACTATTTGCAAACACAAACATGCAATTGTAGATAACTCCATTTGATCTGAGAAATTGCCAAAACTATATTTTGGATTATAGCAGTGGGGGCGGGTACCGACTCAAAAGTGGCCATAATGACGTGCGCTGACATGCTTGCAATACCACCCCGGGCTGATTAGCCAATTCTAACATATAGCCTCTTCTTACCGCTCGAAAACGTCTTTACAGGATGGTCCAAAAGTTGGCTCTAGGCCCAAAGCTCCGTTCCACATGTGTGTCAATGCTGAGGGGAGTGAATATTCTTGGACCAGTCTACTTTAGTCATTGTGAATTTTTGAAGTCACTCGTTAAATGAATGCCGGCTGACGCATGCGCAGATGCGTTTTTTCACATTTTCCAGCCCCCGCGGCCATTTTGAAACTGCCCATAGATCGCAGAAGTTGTGGCACATTAGTTAGAACGGCGGAGATAGGCGTGACTACGTCCGTTAATATTTACAGTTTATGGGTAATACATTAAGGCAGAAAACTTAGTAATATTAGTAATGATGGATCTAAAGATACAGTAACTTCAGTTCTGTTTTTGATCAGGGGACAGCGTTGTAAAATGGTAAAAAGCTCAAAAAAAGTAGATTTACCATAATTTTAACGTTCATAGATTTGGATGTTGCAAAAGTGTAATTAATGTTATGTTTATCTTACACACAGTGATGACGGAAGCGAGACGCCGAACACACTGGCCCAACACATCCCCCGACCAACACCATCCATTCACTCACTCACTACATTCAGACCTATTGTACATGTGTTTAGCGGTAGTGGAAATCGCAGCACCTGGAGGAAACGTACACAGAAATTAGAGAAAATGCAAACTCTTAAATATATAACTAAGACTACATACAGCACGAGAACCCAAATAACAATCACAGTGATCTTGAGGACAGTTTGGATCTTTTATAAAACTTTTAAAGTGATTTTCTGGAGTTTGTCAGAAAGAGAGAGAGAGGTACTTGATTTGAAAATCCTTTCTGATTGGTCTATGCCTACGTTTCCGTAACACTTTGAAATGATAATGAGAGAACACATTATACATATACATTATTAATACACATGCACAGAGGTTTTCAGAATTATTTGTGAACGTTTTAATGAAAAAAATAGTGTTTTTATGCACAAA